CTCATGTAACATGTGATGTGAATGACAATAAAGTATCTTGAATCTTGAATCTTGAATCTTGATAAAGTTGGGAGCGTTTGTTGCTCATTTGCGCCAGATTATTTTAGAAACAGGAAGGAGACTTGTTAATCTTTTTTGGGTTTTTTTTGTAAACATATTCATTCATTTTCCCAATGGAGTCACACAGAAGCACAAACAGAAGTGGGAGTATAGGATGCTCTCCTTTATAAATATGAAATAAAGAACTTGATGGGACTGTGGATGGATGGCTTGTTAAGGGGTGAAAGGGATATATTCTTTCTGCAGTCTTCCTGTCCTGCTTCCCTGTCCTGTCTCCTCACCATCTCTGCGTGTGTGTGTTTGTGTGCGCTCTCCTCTGATGTTGTGGGCTTGTCAGTGTAATAGGCATGCTGCTGTCAGCAGGGCTTGTTGCTCATGAATAGCTTTATGTATGCCAGAAATGCCAGATAGGGAGGTTTAGCTAGTGTGCACGTACATGAACCGTTGGTGACTTTACAGGTTTTTATCGGTTACACGCCTCCTTTCATTCATGTGAGTTCTTTTCAAGTGAATGCTTTAAGAAGAAAGGGAGATCGACAGAAAGGTCTGCCATGTTTGTTGGCATTTTGTAGGATATTTATAACCCTAAGTCCGGGCTTTAATAATGCATGCTTACATGGCACCTCAAACATCTTTTTTTTTATTTTTTTAACTTGAGGAGAGAAGAGGCAAGACAATTTACAGCGGGCCCGCCGTCACAACGAGCGCCAAACTTCCTGTCTCTCTCCTCGTTAGTTACCTCGGCCAACAATTCATCTCTCGCTCATCTTTTATTCACACGTCCATTTACGTGTCGATCCACTCATCCATCACTCCGCTCCGTATGTGTCGTTTTCATTGTTGCGCGTCTTGTACTTTTAAGCAATTCAAACCCAGCTTTAAACTTTGAACAAAACAAATCATTATGCATTATATGCATTATTAATTAGGGTTTTAAAGCCGTTATGTGGCTTGAGTTTCATTCACTTTAGAGCTTTTGGTTTCATTGAAACCTCCGGACACTTATAGAGTTGGTTTGAGAAAAATGAGATGGGTTTACGTTGTTATTAAGCTCATTTGATTGAAGAGACTCAGCCTTTTTTTTTTTTTTTTACTTTTTTGCAATCAAACAAATCAAGTGATTTTAATAAGCATCTATCTCAAAAAATGACTTAATTAGGCATGGGCTGAGGTAACCCTGAGCAAAATTATGATTTGTTTTTATTGAAAATCATACCGTATTTATTCAAGTATAATAAGTAAAATTAAATTCATAAAATCATTCATAAAGTTGGGGGATAGTACTATACTCGGATAAATATTTTAGTTATGTATTTTAACTGAAATATCAGCTTCATTCACAAAATGCATGAGTCCTTAAATGAGACTGTGTCGTAAAAAGCAGTTGAAATGAGCATACCTCTGACACTCCTCTGTTCTTCAAAGCGAGATAATAACAGATCCAGGCAGGCGACATGATGTGAAAAAAGGGGGAAAAGTAGTCCTGCACCTTAGTAATGATAACGAACTAATGACATTAGCGTGTGACCGGGCCGCTCCTCGAACAACAACAAACACATGTTCGTCTGTAATGGCTGCCATCTACCGGTGTTCTGAAAAAGTTTGTATCCCTGAAAAAAATGTTTCACCACCAGAGGGGGCGCTCGTGAGTAGGAAGTAATCTGCTTTTCCTCCAAAAGGTGGCCCAAATCTCATGTGAAGTCTCTGACTTTTGTGTTGGCGCCTCCTGGTGGACTATGTGTGAAATGCCAGAATTCATATGATGCTGCTACAGCTGATGTATATTTGTTGTCAAAATACCTTTTAGTACATGTTGTTAAAATAAAATGAACAGTCCAATGATCATTTTACTGATATGTATAAAGACTGCAAAGGATGAAAAATCTTAAAGTCTGTAAGAAATTGGAGGTAGTTTGAGGATTAAATTTTTTATGCTTTTTAAGCTAAAAAAGTGGGGGTCGTATTATACATGAGATTGTATTATACATGAATAAATACGATAAATGCAAGTACCGCTGCTGCCTGAATATCTCATATTGCTTAATAATGATTATATAGTAAATGGTAAAATGCTTTATTATAAGATTAATAGTGTATTAAGACTTAATAATAATAATAATTTTGATGCACATATATTTTAGAAGACAGAGAGGACACAAGAGAACTTGTTAGGAGTCACACTGTTTTTTTATCCCCCTGCACTCAGAGCAGATTTTAAGCCAGCTTTTTTAAATAAAATTTTTTTATTTTCAATAATATTAAATTTCAAGGCTGAGAATTTGCCCACACATTCAGGGAGCTGTATATAGCATTCATATATTTTGTTTTAATCATAAATACTGTATACATTATCCTTATAGAACTGTCCTGTTCTTCAGTCCCTATCTGTGTTCCTCTTCCAGCTTCCCCACCTGTTTGCTCTCATAAGCACTGTGTCGTATTTTTGTAAAACAAAGGCATTTTTTCCACTTACAAAATCACCCCCTCCTCTTTCCAAACAGCACAAGGCTGGAATCACAGGTTTGTTGTCTTCGGTGGATTCACTCTGGTTTATTGTGAAGCAGACAAATATAAAAGCCATAGCTGCAAACATAAGAGGATGCAGTGTGCCTATTCATGCTGCTATATTTATCACAGGGAGATTCGCTGAGCAGACAAGCTTTTCTTCCACCGAGGTGTGTGTGTGTGTGTGTGTGTGTGTGTGTGTGTGTGTGTGTGTGTGTGTGTGT